GCAGTCTGAACCGCAGGATGGTTTGGGGGAGGCTTGACACAGACTGCACGGGGAGGACAGGGCGGCTCGTGCTCTGAGTCCCTGTGAACGTGCCTGACGCGGCGAGCACCCGCTGCTTCCCGGCCCAGCTTCCTAAAAACGCAATCCCCAAACTCACACTGCAGAGACCTCTTTATGAAAGGAAAACGAGGAACCCGCTGCAGTTAAAAGGATGTTTTTCCCGTTAAAGGAGCTTTCTGAAGTACCTTTTTTATTCAGAGGAACCTTAATTTTATTTCATGATTTCCTGACCTTTCCCTCCTTTCCTCCCCATTTTGAATTTTTTTTTCTTCCTCTCTGTCTGAAAAATACCCTGTATTTGCGTTTCAGACAGAATCACAAAAACACCTTTGGTCTTTAATTAAAATAATACCTACTTGAAGGAGGTGGCCCAGCCACCACCAAAGGACCTATTTTTCCCTTTCCAGCGGCAGGAATTAATTCTGCTTTAAAAAAAGAAAAGAATATCTTCGGGCCAAAAATTCTGAAACTATTTTATTTAGGTCCCATGTTGGGGGTGCCATAATGTAAATAATAGTATTTGAATGAAACAATTTAACCTAAATTCAGATTTTTATAATTTGCCCATTTGCAGATTCCTATAATTTACACCTTACCCACCTTTTCCAAAAGAGAATGTGAAATAAGAATTATTTAAGTAAATCTGACTTTAAATTGCTTGGTCTTAAAAAAAATTGTTTTTAAAGTAAAATCATCCATCTCTACTGTGTGTGGATCTAGGGACCCAAACCCCTAAGATTCGGTATTTTTGATTAGCTAGTTTGGGCATGAGCAGATTATGGCCAGGACAGTTAGAAGCTGAGGAAGTTGTGTCTGAGGGCCAGTGTCACTTGACAAACACGTAAATTTACATGGAATGCACATCAATTTCTTATGGACCCCTACATTTGAATATCTGGGGCAAGATCGGTAGATTAGGTGAACAACTGCTTTTAATTCCTCACACTTTGTGTAAATACAGAATTTAGAGAAGTCATGGTGTTACTTTCATTTTCAATCCTGCAAACGTGTGATCAGTCTACACTTATGTAAGGATTTTTGGTTCTGACATATCCCTATCCTAGGAGACAAATATTGTAACTCATGGGGATTTGGACGGTATTTCTATATGAAAACGTGGCTTTTTCACTTCCCACTCCTAAAGTTTTGTCCACCCATGCAGAACTAAGTGGAAAATAGTAACAATTAACTACATTCAGACCCACACAAAGCATCATCTGAGTGGGCCTGAATTATCTAGGTATTTGTCATTTTATATTGGTGTAGATATGACAATGCCATGCTGAACACCTTGAGCTCAGTAAAGCACTTTCCAGTTCCACTCAATCAACAGCTATGGAAGTTTTCTTTATTGATTGCTTGATGTGTAACAATAATTGGCATTTTTTTCACACATTACAAAAAATTATACTTGGCTCAGTATGCAACCTTTTAAGCATAGCCATATTATTTAACAAAAGAAGGGGAAAACCTACTCTACCCAATGCAGCATTTACAAATGCACAAAAGATGCCACTTTGGCTTGTATATTGTCTAGATTAAAAAAAAAATCTCTTTTTAACATAAATAAGTTAGTATAATTTTTCAGTGTCTTTACAGAGTTATGTACACAGGTACACTTCAAATGGTTTTGCCTCATACACATACACAGGCAATGAAGAAATACTGTTTAAAGATGTAGTATCCATTTCACTTATTCTACCAGTGTGCTTTTCTCTACATGCACCTTCCTTTAAAAACACCACTTTCCTATGGGCAAATTAACAAATATAACAAGGTTTTAAATTCAAAGTTATTTCATTATTGTGTGTGTGTGTGTGTGTGTGTGTGTGTGTGTGTGGTTACTTAGGTCTTTTAAAATATCCAGGAATTCAGAATTATTCTAACTGTGTGTACACACCCAAGGTGAAAAGAAAACTAACACATTTCCTCAACAAATATAAAAGTTAGATAGTCAATTTTGAGCATTCAGAACTCTCCACACGCCTGGTTTTTGCCCAGTTACCTGGAGTGATTACCACCAGCTGAAAATTAACTGGTAAATTCCAATTTTTAGGGAGAGCAAAGAGAATAGTTTTCTGATTTTTTTAAAAGCCATTTGTTGCTACATAATGGAATAATCAGGACTCCCAAATGAGAATAAGCTTCATGTAAAAATAAATAGCAACTATTTGTACCCAGTGTTCAAATTTCCATGATTTTAAAAATGAAATATCAGTTCTCACTGAAAGGGACATTACATCTTTAAAGAAAACAATTCAACCCTTCCCCAAAATTGCTTCTCTTCATACAAGTCAAATATTTTTCTCCTTGTTATAAACTGAAGAGGCTGCCAATTCCTCAGCCCCACCCGCCTTCCCTTCCCCGATGTTTATGTGCTACATAAAAGGTAAAAACAAAAACTATATACACAGGTAGTACAATGAAGCAAATAAGGAAAAACCTAATTGCACAATGCTACATCCAATGCTTTTAGAGGCAGGTCATTTAAGAGTGCCTAAAATTTTAGTGTTATTGTGTTGTTGCTTTCAGTGCTCATACAGGGTGTCCATTCCATGGAGTCAGCGATATGTATTTAAATTTTTTCATGTATATCTTCCTTGCTTCATCAAGCGGTCAGGTAGCTGATAAAGAAGGAAACATATTCTTAACTCTGCAAAAGGAGTAAGGAGGAAGAATTAAGAGAGAGAACACCAACATAACATTAGCAATAAAGTACAGGAATTATCTTGCTACTGTCATAGTTGGGAAATACCTGAGGGCTGGACTTAGTTTGATGCCACCTGCAGCTAACACAGTCTTAACTGGGTTTCTGCTCTCCCCTGTGCTGTGTTGGAGCAGCAGTTCTTAACAAATGGGTGATAGTAAACCCCACCCCCAGGGGACATCTGGCAATGTCCACAAAAATTTTTGGTTGTCACAACCAGGGAGGATTGCTACTGGCATCTAGTGGGAGAGGCCAGGGATACTGCCAAACATTCTAAAATGCACAGGACAGCCTCCCACAACAAAGAATTATTCGGCCCCAAATGTCAATAGTGCAGAGGTTGAAAAACTCTTAAAGAATGTGGGTCAAAGATAGTGAGAAAGAAAAATAAAAATCGGAAAATTCAGAAACTGTTAAACCTAAGAGGGGCATCATTTTTTAAGCCTGAAAAATACTTGGAAATGCAACTTGGAAAGGCCTCCAGAGGAAAATTCTATTTAATGCCGAAGTTTTTTTACCCCCAAATATCCTAATGTATTATTCATATGCAGATTATACATATGAATGCTTTTGAATAGGTCCTTACTACTTATTTCTAATATTCTTTGAACTGATGATATTACTAACAAATGCCTTGCTGTGTATCTGAAGGGGGCCTGACCAGAATCCAGTAGGTAGGATTCATTGCTCATCTGATTAGAGAGGCCACAAGTCACACAAACCAGTGAGTTGCAGTTGTTAAGGTTATTTGAGAAAATTATTCATCCAATTTCCCCACTTTATATAGAAGTGTAACATACAAGTTCTATAGTGCTGTTGTGTTAGCTCTGAAAAATACCAGATATATGTAGACAAGTCATATTATGACATTATGATTTAAAAACATAACAAAACTGAATCCCTTTCTTAATCCCTATGGTCTTTAATTTACTTTGCAATTTTTATAAATGATTTAAAAGTTAACATTGGTATTTATTATGATCTCTTTATATGCTAGCCTGAGTGTGCTTTGGGGAAAAAAAAAGAGATCACAATCCTTTTTTATGAGAAGTATATTCCTTCATATATTTGGTTTGATCATTATAGACAGCCAATCTATGTAAATTTGGGGGCTGGGTTATTTAAATTAGCTATTCAAGTTGATCAGCTTTTCATATCTGGAAAAATCTTCACTTGTGATGCAGACCAACCCTCCATCTACCCATTTCCCCTAAAATATCCAAATCATCCTGTTACAGCACAATTAGCATATGCGGGCTGACGTGTTCCTGGATTGCTTATTCTGACAGCCGATTTAACTTCTGCTTTGCTACTTTAGTGCTATCAGAAATGCTGCAGGGACTTTAGTTATTTTTGAGCTTTCCATTTTTTTTTTGTTTTTTTTAATATCTAAAGTTTCCTTCTCCTCAAACTTACCAGAAAATTACAAAGATAAAAGAATACAGCACAACACTTTGTTCACATTCCTAACCCCTTGCCTAACCAAATCTTAGCTATTCCTACCTAGAGTTTCTCTAAACTTAAGTGTAACTGTGTACTTGCCATTTTTTCCACGGATGGCTCAAAATCTGTTACGGATTCCATTAAACCCCTAGGAAATGAATCCTCATGAAGTGGGGTACCCCAGTTCTATCTTGTTCAGATGGAGAAACAATCTATTGTTTCCAACATGTTTTGGTGGGACTCACAGGGACACGTATGACCTTCCTAACACTGGGGTCTTGGTTGTAAGTACTTGCCAGGGACACTTGCTCTGGCTGTGTACTGTTGCAAGGAAAACTCCTGGATTTAAGAGGCTGAAGAATTACTGTATCCTTACAGTTATACCCTGCCTTTCTCACTGCTACTTTGGTGACCTCGAAAAATAAAACAGAACAAAACCCCTGCAAGGTACTAATCTGCCAGGAACCAGGAAGGCTGGGTACCCCGGGTTTTGAAGGCCCACAGGGTAAGCAGCGCAGTTTGGGTATCAGTTTCGTGCGCTTCTGATCAACCCACCGAGTTGTTTACGTTTGACGTCTTCGGAGGCCAGGCTTCTTGGGCGTCTGCTCCACAGAACCTGCGTTGGGGGAACCGTCTGAAACGTTTTCTTCTGTTCTGTTGGCTCTTTTGTTTTGAGGAGAAGAATCTGAGAGCACGGGGAAATTTTAAAAAGAACACACACAAACAATCTTTATTAGCAAAAACAATGGCTTGACAGAAGTTGGCCCAACAGTCAGGGGGTGAAAAGCCCACCACCTCCGCCCACAGCCCTAGATCCATCGTTCCCGGTGGCCTTTAAGGGAACAAAATGAGGTTGTTTCCACATAACAGAAAGCATATTCTACACCCTGCATCTTTCTATCTTTCTCTCCCCCACTCCAAGAGAGAAACAGTTGATAAACATCCCAAACTTGTCACATACCTACAGCTGGCTAGCACGGAGAAGCTGCGATGTGCCCGGTTAGGGAAATGATCAGATCTTAACCATCTCCAGCTTCTCACACCAAAATCGTAAACAGCCAGCCAGGTATCATTTAAACCTAAGGTTAACCTAGCTCAGTCCCCAAAAGCTAGCTCAGAAGACGCTGAAAAGCAAGCTGAGGTTAATAAGCCCAAGCAAGCAAAAGCGGCGCGACAGACGGACGGACAGACAGACGGCAGGCAGACAGACATTTTATGGTCTGGAAAGGGTCATTACCGTCTGTGGCAGGTCGCTTCCTGATGCCTGAGCACTGCTCAGCTAACCCCGTCTGGCTGTCTGACGGGTCAGGCTTTGGGTCTACCAAGTGCGTGTCCTCTGAGTTTGCCTGAGACCCAATTAAAGGCACCGCCTGGCGGATCCCGCTGACATCCTGGCCCTCCTGCGGCGGCACCTTGCCCGCGCCTTTGGGGGGCCGCGGGGGTCTGTAGTAGAACTCGGGCAAACTGCCCTTTTCCACCTCCTGCCACTCGTATTTACCCTCCAGGGGCTTGTGATTCTGAAAATCGAAATTCCACTTGCGCTGGCTCGCCTCTTCCATGTCTCTGCAGTGCTTCTCCAAGTCCCGGGTTAACTCTTCGTGATTCACGGGGCCGAAGAGGTTTCTGCAGGCGGAGGGCTTAGGGTGCTCCGCCTGCCGGGCGTCCATCCGCTCCAGGCTGGGGCTCCCGTTCGACACTCGCACGTTTGACATCTTCCTCCTGCTCGGGTCTCGACGACCGCCTCACTCACGCTCTCAAAAAAGAAAAAAAACGAAAGAAAGAAAAAGAAGAAAAAACCACCGGAAAACACAAAAACGCCCCTGCGCAGCCCGATCCCCGCGACTCCG